ACTTTTATGATTAGACTGAAGACTTTCCTTTTTGATAAATCCTATAGTTAGGTTTAGGTTTCCTGAATTATTCTTCAGTTCTGCTCCTTTATACTTAGACTGCTGGAGCACAAACTATGCACATTTCCTCACTCTGCTGTTGTTTTTAGTCTCTCTTCTCTACATTTATTGTAATTATTCTATCATGTTTTTTCTTTGTTTCTTCCAGGAGAAGGCCTGGACCAGTCCCGGACCAGTTCTGCTGTGTTTACCTGTGTCTCTTTCCTGTCCCCCAACCAGCCAGTCGAGGCAGATGGCCGCCTGTCCTGAGCCTGGTTCTGCTGGAGGTTTCTTCCTGATTAGCAGGGAGTTTTTCCTCCCCACCATTTACTCAGGATGGGAGACTGTGATGAAGTGATTCAACGCAGCCTGCTGGTTTCTTCTTTAGATTATTCTTTTTATGTACAGTGCCCTGAGACAACTTAGTTGTGACTTGGCGCTATATAAATAAACTGAAATTAAATTAATTAAATCAAAAATTGTCTACAGCATCATCTGTAATAAATCAGCAAATTAAGCAGGCATGTTTTGTTGCCAACAATTATGAATCATGATAACATTTGTCCTGATGCATCTCAAAAAYCCAAGTAAAAATTGAGCAGGTCCTCTGGATGGKTTCTGCTTTGTTGAAAGCCTCCAAGGGACTTCTTCAGTCTGAAAYAGTCTCTTGGAGAAGAGGCARAAGTAAAGTAAAAGATGGTGCTAAGAGCTTATAGAAGTCTGTGATGAAAGATATTGAGGGAATCATTTCACTAATGGTTATAATCTGTAAAAAATGCAAGGAATATTTGATGTTTTGTAACCCAATTTCACAAAATCCCTGATGAGTTTGAGTCACATTAACAAAAAAAAATCATTTAATGTTGTAGAAATTATGTCAGAAGCATACAAATTCAAATGAAAAACATAAAATTGCATATTTTGACAGCTATTATGGCTTTAAAGATAAAGTATTTGTCTTGCTCACTGCAGAAGCTCAATGCCATTGCTTCAATAAATAAATTACCAAGTGCAACAGTTTTGTTGTTGCATAGATGTAGAAATCCAGTGAAGGTTTAAATCAAGCTTTGAACACTACTGTGCAAGTGCTGAAGTAGATACGACTATTATTTGGTTTATAAGAAATAAACATCCACTAACCATGTGTGAATAAATCTCATAAAGCAAAATAAGGTTTTCACAAAACTATGTCAATTGTAAACATTTTAGAATACTTATACTGTAATATACAGTATAAATAC